CTCCCCGTCGGAGAGGGACAGGGACGGGGACAGGGACAGGGGAGGAGGGGACCGAGGCCGAGGGAGAGTGGGATCTCCCCGTCGGACAGGGACAGGGACAGTGACAGGGGAGGAGGGGACCGAGGCCGAGGGAGAGTGTGATGGAAGGCGTCCGAAACGCAGCGAGAGCTGGATGAAGCCCCGAGCTGGACCCTCGGCCAGCCCAACCCCAGACTCCGTGGCGGATTTCTGATGCGCGGTGGGGGAGGGCCACCTCACCCCGAGGGTGTAAGAGGAGATTACTCATTTAGTCCCAATTCCCTGTCATGGCCTGGCCAGAGGATCCCTAGATGATCACCCCGACAGGGGGCAGGACTCGCCTTTCAACCCAGACACTGGTGTACCAGTTCAGCTGCGCGCTGTGGAGCCGCGGCGCTCTGCTCCCACAAGGGAGGAGCCATGCTCAACAGGGGGCGCCATCGTCCCTGCTGCCCTCCAGGAGGCGCGCGCGGCCTCGGAGAGTCTCCGAGACCCAGAGGGCCAGTCCTGCCGCGGCACAGCGCGACAGCCCTCCGGCAGCCGGTCCCGCCCTCTCTCCGCGAGGATGACCTCACTTCCTGTACGCACCGCCGGTGCGCACACTGGTCAGGCCGAGCCGAAGCGGCGCCTCCTACTGGGCACCAGTGACGTTGGCGACAGGAAAATGATACAAATGGTCCCACTTAAGATACCTCACAAAATTCACTGCTCCACGAAGCACAGTTTGAACGGTACACCCGGATAATTAGAAGCAACCAGTACACCCCTATTTCACTGGGACGGCCTGAGCCTTAGTTCTGCTATTTTGCTTGTGCGTGTGTTGCCACAGTTTTTATTCTGACTGGTTCACTGTGTTTCGTACCGCATCTAGTCTGTAGAAACATGGACGCAACTTTCAAGACGCTTCAAATCTGCTGCACTGCTGAGTGGGGAGGGAGCCTGCATTTCCATTTTCCCAGCTGAAGTGGGAATGATTACAGACTCTTGCTAAACTCTAACCGGATCCCTTTTGCGAAAAAATATTCCCGGTCGAGACATGCACGTCCAGATACATCCTCCCCCTCTTCAGCAGTGCCTAGAGAACGAGTCTCTTTCTTTTTGCTCTCAAAAAGTTGAATGAAGGATAAAAATGAAGTGTTCTCTCCAATTTTTCAGAGGAGGGAACTGCGTGTTGGAAACGGTGGCGTTTCGAATCTAAAATTGTCGTGCGCCTCTGCACACATTACGTCGTCTCGGTGAAACGGGGATTTTGCCATGCGCTGCAGGAGCTGTCCTCAGCCACCAGGGCGGCGCTATAGTCACTGCGCAGTCAGCTGCGACACATGACTGTCTGATTGTCAGTCCTTTCTATATACGGAAAGGTCAGGGTGCACCCATGTGGGCAGAACCGTGCTGAAGCACTGGGAAACAGCTGACCAGAGGCTCTTCAGGGAGGGGAGGCATAGCGGTCTGTGCTACAGCCCACCTGATCTAACGCGGGCTGGACCCCCTCTGCTGCTGGTGTGACTGCCCAGCCAGGGTAACAGGTCACCCTTAAATCAGACGCTTGTGACGATTCAACAGTATTCCCCAATTCGGGACCATCCCGTCGGGAATGCCCTGCCCTGGCCCTGGAAGTCAGCAGGGAGGGACTTTGCTATGCACATCCGCTTGAGGGATGCATGTGGAGGAGCGCCACCTAGTGGCACAGCAGAGTTAGTCCTCCACCCTGCACACTGAACTCCTCTCTTCAAGAAGAAGTATCGGAGACAGTGTGAATAACAGCAGTTGTAGAAAGACCTGGTTTGAGGGTGACCTGTACAACCACTGACTGGAGAGAGGGTCTCTGGGACTGACCCCTGCCCCCACGAGCAGGAAGCTGGGGCCCAGACGAACCCGAGGGGCACACCAGTCCCTTGAGGTTGCTTCTGCTCAACCGATCTCGCTGCCGGATGACCTGGACCAGTGGCTGCTGGTTCTCGGGGGGGCTGGTGATTTAGGGAGGCCTGCTGGGAGGCTGTAGGGCTGTGGGTGACCCATTACCCCAGGCCGGGCAGTCACACCACACTCCGACTGCCCCCCGGGAGGCCTCCCTTGGTCTCTATTCCACTGGCCAGTCCCCACAGATCTGTGCGTTTTTGGCCTTTACCCCTGACCCAACGGCCCCACTAAGTGTATCTGAAACTCAACAGCGCTACGCCCCCCCTTCCCCAATACCACCAACCACTCCGTCCAGAATCCACTCCCAAGCGACCCAGGATCACTAACCGTTTGCTGGCTGCTCTGGGTTTTGTTTTCTAGCGTCACGTTAAAAAGAGCCCAGCACAGCGCTCTCGGCCGGTGCAGGGAGGGAAAACGCACAGATCGAAGGAGACTGCCTACTCTCATCGTGACCCCTAATCGCCACAAGCAGACTGGGGGGAGGAACAGCAGCCTCAGCTCCCATAAGGCTATGCAGCGTGCCCCGGAAGTGAATGACATGGCGCCCAGGAAGAAGGGGAGGCAGGGGGGGTGCAGGACAGCCCCCGTCAGGGCTGCCCACCGAACACTCGCCCACACCGACCAGCTCGCTTCTTGGCAGAAACACGCTGGGAGGCGGCGCGACGCGGCACAGAGCGATCCCAGGGTGCACTGCTGTAGTGTCGCCCACAAAGACACAGACAGATGGGAGATCTACAAGGACGAGTGCAACCTGGACTTCGACACCGCGGCTCAGCGGGCAGAAAGCAAAGCCATCGCTCCCGAGTGGAACGGGGTTCGATTTTCACGCGCGCTGCGGTCGCAAACCACAATTCTGGCAGGGCGGGTGCGTTACAGTGAAGCCTCCTCCATTCTGTGTGAACACGCACGCGTACACAAGTCCGTACCCACACAGCTGAAAACAACTCCCCTGAACACGCCCGCGGACAGCTGAGGTGTTTCAGTATTGAGTCTCCCAAAATCAGAAATACTTACAGAGCCCTGCCATGCCAAACTAAGCGATCTTGCCCTTTCTGCGAACACCTCACCCAGCTTTCCTGCACAAACACGTGCGTGACAGACAAATCGGCACTAAGCACAAGAGCATCTGCAACAGACTCTACATGGAGAACAAGGTCTAGGTGTACCAGATTCGGTACTGCTGTGTTAGGGTGTGCTCTGTTTTGAGCTGGGCATTGTGTTGCCACTGCACTGTCTTTGTCTCAGGTGTTGCTCACTTCAGTATGGCTGGGCTCTGCAGTAAGCAGTAGGACACTGGATAGCGTTAGGTCCTCCATAAAACATATCTAAGGATTTTCTAACTGTTGTACAAAAACACAGTTCTGAAATAGAATAAAAGTTCCTTCTCTATAAAAAGCAGAAATCCTCTTTGCTTTCCACCCCAAGCTTGAGGAGAGAGAACTGAAGCAGAGGAGGGGGGTTTAAGCTGAGCTGATGTGCTTGGTCAGAGATGCTGGACTGAGATGAACAAAGGGGACTTCAGCTCCTCGAGGTCTAGAAAAAGAGAGAGCCAAGATTTGAGAAAAGTCCCCTCCTATTTGAATGATCAATCCACTCATCAGTGATCTGTCCTGTCTTTAAAAAAAGCCATGAGTGATTTACCACTCTGTTAAGGAACTAGTCGCTTTCAGATAACACGGGTGCTTGTCTTTTTCAAGGCCTTTAGTCCGTTTCTTCTGTGCGTGCGACCCTAGAGCCTGGAGAAGACTGGAACGGGGGACGCTGTGCGTGTGTGTGTCTGGTGTCTTCTGGGGGCAGGGGAGGGTCTGTGCGTCTGTCTACCACAGCAACGTCTCCACTGTCCACCCAGCTAGTGCTTGTGTGTGGGCCTGTCTGACCTTGGGGGGAGGGGTGAACAGGGGGGTCAGTGGTGGGTCTCTGGTGTTGGGGTTCACATTCTGGGTCAGTCTGCTCCATTCAGCCTCTTCAACAGGGGGGAGTGAAAGCGAGAGGGAGAGAGAGAGAGGAGGGGGGTGGGGGAGGCAGAGACAGAAAGCGCTCAGCTACTGGGGTCCAGCACTGTGCTGTGGGTCAGGAAGAGCGAGGACAGGGGAAACCAGGAGAGAAACTCCTTCCCCTGTCTCCCCTCTGACAGCCTGCTCACCTCCCAGCTCTGCGTCTTCTCAGTAATACATCATCCCTGTTGCACTTGCTCCTCCCATCTCTCGCCTCCCTCTGCCCCCACCCATCACACCCTCTACCCTCCCCCCAGTGCAATGTGGGATGGTTACTCCTCTTTCTGCAGAGCAGCCGCGGCTCCGTCCGTGCAGTCGTCAGGGCAACAGGGGTCGTCGGCTTCACTACCGGAGGGGACCCTGGCCCCCGACTGGCTGTCTCTGCTGGGTAAGGCACACTGGACAGGCTGGGCCTGAGTGGGGGCAGGCTGCGGATCCGGCGCCTGGCCGCTAGCGGGAGCCGGGGAGCTGCCATTCAGGTGTGGGGCGCCCCCCCCGATGAGGGCCCGCACCTTGGAATCTTCAGCCTGTTTGGGGGCTCCGTTGGAGGAGGGGCTTGTGGAACCCACCTGGGGGGGGGGGGAGGTGTGAGATTCATTACATTATGAGATGCCGCACCCATGAAGGAATGAAAGTTCTCGTCTATTTTCAACTTCAGCTGTGATCTGAGATGTTACTTAAGTCCCACATCTCCTCCGAGCGAGCAGCACACAGACCCAAGAAAGGGGTACAGAGTCCAGTCCATTACAATCTTCTCCTTCCCTGATCAGGACTGACCAG